GTTGGCCACTGTGAGAACAGGATGCTGGACTAGATGGGCCCTTGGTCTGATTCTGCAAGGCCTGGCCAATCTGGAGGCTTTGTCATGTGTGCCAACCACATAGATGATGCCCCTTGTCATCTCTTGATGTGCCAAGGCCTGAGCACATAGTCCTAGCTAACTCTTTTGGTTGAGTCTATCTCAGTGTTGGATCCCCATCTCCCTACATGGCTGCCTGGACCACAGACCCTATTTTCCAGGGACAGTCCCAGATTTAAGAAGCCATCCCAGTTTCTGATCTGATCCCAGAATGTCCTGCTTTTCCTTTCTTGGTCACACTCATGTTGTAGCCCATCTCGTCCTCTGTCGTCCCCTTCTCCTTGTGCCCTCCATCTTTCCCAACATCAGGGTCTTTTCCAGGGAGGCTTCTGTTCTCATGGGGTGGCCAAAGTCTTGGAGCCTCAGCTTCAGGATCTGTCCTTCCAGTGAGCACTCAGAGCTGATTTCCTTCAGAATGGTTAGGTTTGATCTTCTTGCAGTCCATGGGACTCTCAAGAGTCTCCTCCAGCACCAGAATTCAAAAGCATCAATTCTTCGGCGATCAGCCTTCTTTATGGTCCAGTTCTCACTTCCCTACAACACTACTGGGAAAACCATAGCTTTAACTATATGGACCTTTGTTGGCAAGGTGATGCTGTCTAGGTTTGTCATCGCTTTTTCCCCAAGAAGCAGGCGTCTTTTGATTTCGTGACTGCTGTCACCATCTGCAGTGATCATGGAGCCCAAGAAAGTAAAATCTCTCACTGCCTCCATTTCTTCCCCTTCTATTTGCCAGGAGGTGATGGGACCAGTGGCCACCGGCAAGCCACTCCAGAATATTCCTGCCAAGAAAACTCCATGCTTTTCCTTAGGACATCTCTATTTTCATTGGAGAAATGTTGGAGGGTATGGAATTGGACATCCCCGGGGCTTTCCCCCCCAGCTAGAACTCACCAGAACTCAGTTCCAGCAGCTCTCAGGTGAGCACCACTGCCATCATAAGAGAACAAGGGAGGCGCTCATGGTGAGCTCCAGAACCTCTTTTTCTAGAAAAATAGCAATGGATGTCCCTATTTTCACTGGAGAAATGTTGGAGGGCTTTGCAATCAATTCCCACGGCTTTTTAAAGGCGTGTGTGTGCGGCGGTGAGGTGGGGCATTAAATAGTCCCAAATAAATCATATTATTGCCGAGTCAAAATTTCCCCAAAGTTGTTTTTCTGAGAAAATGCCAGATTTTCCCTTGTCTCACCTCAAAGAACAGGCATAGGCAACCTTGGCCCTCCAGATGTTTTGGGACTACAATTCCCATCATCCCTGACCACTGGTCCTGTTAGCTAGGGAACATGGGCGTTATAGTCCCAAAACATGTGGAGGGCCAAGGTTGCCTATGCCTGTCAAAGATTAAGGCCACTTTGCAGAATCTCTTCTGAATATTCTTTTATGGTATATCCAGCATTCCAACCCCACCATGGTTCCATCCAGTTGCAAAAGTGCAGTTGGGAAGTCAACAATTTCTGACCCTCCTTGCAGCTATGGCACAAAAAAACCTCCCAAACCCTTTTTTTGCGGGGGAGAAGCTCTGCTTCTGCAAATGGTGAGCCCCACTCCCCAGATATTATGGGCTGTCCTGTGAATCCGCTGGATGACATTGCAGAAGAACGTTGCCTCAGGAGAGTGAGGAAAATTCTCAGGGATGATTCACACCCTGGCCGGCACTTTCTTGATCTCCTGCCCTCTGGCAGAAGATATAGAAGCCTGATTAGTCGCACCAACAGGGTAAAGAACAGCTTCTATCCGTGGGCTGTTAGGCTGCTGAATGAAAAGATAACAACAGGGCAACTGACTTTCAGGTTTGGTGGGTGTGCGTCAGTAAACGAGGGGAATTAAGACTAAGAGAGCTGAGTGGGGGGTGTTCGTGTAATCTCACTGTATACAAGTTGTACAAGTGACAATCAAGTATTTCAGAAACTGTTGGGACAATCTTTCCCGGAGAAATGGGTTGAAATGATCCTCCCAATTTCTGTACGCACAAATTTGATGGAGAATTCTCTGGGGCAGGGGGAGCCATGATTGTTTGAAATGGTCCCGCAGCACTTTAAAGGACTGGTGTCAAAAGGAGATGGGAGTCTTTCAAAGGCCTTTGAGAATTAACTCTGCACAATTCCCAACCCACCTCACTAAAAATAATAATGGGAATAGATCTGCAAACTCCTGGTCTGGAGAAGGATCCTGTGGCTAAGAATAGGCAGGGAAAACCTTAGCAGGCACTCCCATGAAAAATGCTACGTGGTCCTATTCAAAATATTTAACTGGATTATGAGGGCATCACCCCCACCAGCGTACCTGAACTGGCCACAGAATTACTTTTTAAAAAGAAAGACGGACAATCAAAGGTCCCCCACTTTAAAAAACAACAGCATCCGCCTGTCCCCTTTTTTATTAATATTATTTACTTGCCCAAAGTCCTCTCCCTTGGCTGCCAGTATAAACACCAGGTGAAATTCCGATGAGGGAAAAGGCCATTTCTTCCCCCGAGCCACCAAAGCAAAGCCACGTTATATAAACCGGCACCGTTTAAATCATTCTCGATTTAATACAAACAAGTGCAAAAAGGAAGCCCATTGCGGGAGCAACCGGCTAGCTACACGGGCGCGCATGTTTGGATGTTGTCGTTCATATATATATATATATATATATATATATATATAACATTTCCCTTATTTGTTTTTCCCACCCCTCCCTTCTGTCTTTAATACAACTTCCTGAGGTTTATTTTGAAAAGAAGGAAAAGTCAAGTGGTCCGTGATGCTCTGGGCAAACCGGCTTGCTGAGAGCTGCGCTGCCACCTAGTGGTGAGAAGGAAATGTTCGCAGCGAGTTGGTCTCCCCACACACTGAATCATAGAATTGTAGAATTGAAAGGGACACCAAAGGTCATCTAGTCCAACAAGCAGGCCCCCTTCCCGTTCTGACGGGTGGGGTGGGGGGAGCTGCTTCTACATGGGTGCTCTGCGCCTGGCATACACAGCCAAGCCCAATTCAGCACACACACGGCCCACACACACACACACACACACAGTTAAAGCTACCCTCTGCTCGACACTTGAAGGGGCCTGGCATAAGGACAGCGCATTAAAACAGCCATGGTTTCCCCCGCCTCAAGGAATTCTGGGAACTGTGTGGTTTGCTGTGGGTGCCGAGAGTTGTCAGGAGGCTTCTATTCCCCTCCCCAGGGCCGGATTTAGGTCTGATGTGGCCCTAAGCTACTGAAGGTAATGGGGCCCTTTATATGTCCAGCTGTCCTTTGTCAACAACAAATCATCACTGTTTTTTGTGCTTGAATATATGCTATATGGTAATTTATGGACCTAACAGGTATCTTATGGGACACAGGTGGCGCTGTGGTCTAAACCACAGAGCCTAAGGCTTGCCAATCGGAAGGTCAGCAGTTCGAATCCCCGCAACAGGGTGAGCTCCCGTTGCTCAGTCCCTGCTCCTGCCCACCTAGCAGTTCAAAAGCACGTCAAAGTGCAAGTAAATAAATAGGAACCGCTCCGGCGGGAAGGTAAACGGCGTTTCCGTGAGCTGCTCTGGTTCGCCAAAAGCGGCTTAGTCATGCTGGCCACATGACCCAGAAAAACTGTCTGAGGGCAAACGCCAGCTTCCTTGGCCATAGAGTAAGAAGAGTGCACAGCCCCAGAGTCGTCTGCGACTGGACCTAACGGTCAGGGGTACCTTTACCTTTACCTTTAATAGGAATCTCAAGCCATTTGCCCACGTTGCCCTGCAACCAGTCCATGCAGAATGTAGGCACCCTATATATAGAAAGGAGCAAACCAGTGATATTTGAGGGAGCAGGCTAGCAGGCGGGGCCCATGACTTACATCATAGGAGCCCACACAACACAAAACACTGTTGCTGGATGTAGGTTTTATTTTATTTGTTTTATCTTATATTTTGGAAATGTACATCCAGGTTTTTTTCCCTTTAATTTTTTTGGGGGGCCCAAGAGAGTGGGGCCCTAAGCTACAGCTTGTTTAGCTTATACGTAAATCCGGCACTGCCCCTCCCAGAGCTACAATTCCCAGAGTGTCTCCCTCTTCCCAGGGAAGTCTTGGACTTATAGTTCTGGGAAGGACTCCCAGCATCCTGAACAAACTACAATGCCCAGATTTCTTTGGGGGAAGCTTAAAAATTTAAGGGTCTATGACAGTGTTTTGGTGTCATATGGTGACCATTGCTGAACCACTCTGGGAAATGCAGCGGGGGGGGGCTCCTAAGAACTCTCAGCTCCCCTCAGCAAACCCACAGCTCCCATAATCCTTTGGGGGAAGCCACGACTGTTTAAAGAGGTAAGATAGTGCTTTAAATGTGTGGTGTGAACCTGGCTCCGAGTGGTTTTGCAATCCTCTTGATTGTAGCCCTGTGAGGGGAACAGAGGCCTCCTAAGAGCCTTCAGCACCCTTAACAAACTACACTTCCCAGAATTCTTTGGGGAAGCCATAAGGTTTCTGGCAGCTCCATGCCCAATTACAGTGGTACCTTGGTTCTCAAACACCTTGGTACTCAACAACTTGGAACTCAAACACTCCAAACCCAGAAGTAAGTGCTCCAGTTTGCATACTTAGTTTGGAAGCCGAATGTGCTCCATTTTGAGTGTGACGCTTCCAAATTGGGTGCCACACTTCCGTTTTGAGTGGCGCACTGAGGTCTGTCTGTTTTTGCTATTTATTTGAGTTTTTGTGGCTTTTTTGTTTTGTGACTGTGTGGAACCCAGTTCAGCTACTGATTGATTGATTGATTGATTGATTGATTGTGTGACTGCAGTACATTGTTTATTGCTTTCATTTTATGAATCAATAGTCTCGTTAGATAGTAAAATTCATGTTAAATTGCTGTTTTAGAGGTTGTTTTTAAACGTCTGGAATGGATTAATCCGTTTTGCATTACTTTCTTTGGGAAAGCAAGCCTTGAGCTTTGGAACACTTTGGTTTTGGAACGGACTTCTGGAACGGATTAAGTTTGAGAACCAAGGCACCACTGTACTCTCTTGGTAGCAGAGGAGGGAGAAACTGGTCCTAAACAGAGTTCCTGAATTGCTCTAGACTGGACTGGGATTCTCCAGACAGACTAGCATACAGAGAAACACCAGCCAATGATCACATTTGCTCTCCAAATGATGCCAGTGAGTCCATCAAGTTTGCTTTCAAGGCCTGTTCAGTTTGCCGATCTGGACCAGGGACACTCCATCCCTGACTGTCCACTTTCCAGGTTTTGAATAAACCCCTTGTTCGATTCTTCAGCTTCCTCTTTTCTTTTTTCTTTTCTTTTTTTAGCCAAATGGCCTTTACTCTCCTAAAGCAGAAAACAGAAACGGAATGGCTACTCCATCACCGACAGCAAACGGACTCTCCGTCTCTCCGAAGATACTTCACTCTTCCGCCTAGTTCTTTATCTTCAATATATGGAATAAGCCGAATTTCGTTTTCTTCTTTTCGCTTTCTTGGGTGTTACGGGGCACATCTGCATAGGGTGAGAAAAACGATACACACCTTTGCATAACTGAACTAGAGTGCAGATGCGGTTGCGATCAAGGGGTGCGATAGATTATGGAGTCTAAACGCAGGAAAGGGCTCAAGACTGGTTTCCCAAGATCACCCGACTCCTCAGACCAGGAAGGTTGTTATGTATGGGAGGGACAGGCCTTATGGTGGCCTGCTATAACTCCCATCACCCCTGGCTGGGGGCTGATGGGAGCTGGAGTCCAGCAACACCACATGGAGAACACCATCTGGGCTTCTATTGGTCTGGGATGTCCTCTGCCTGCAGTTTCCTCCTAGGGCCGGGACTGACTCCAGCTGCAAAAGTTGAGGCTGCTGAACAGATTATTGCTTTGGGGAAGTTGTTGCTGTTCTCGCTGCTAATTTTTTGCATCTTTCTTTGGGATCTCACGATTTATGTGGAGATCGTTTAAGCAGGCTGTGTACCTTATGATGTTTGTTTATCAGTCATGACTACTTTTGCTCTGTGTGTAGTTATGTGATTATATATATATATATATATATATATATATATAGTAAGGTGCGCCTTGAGCATGGTTTGAACTTTGGAAAGGCAGCATGCAGATAAAATGACTGATTGATATTGCTTTAAATGTGTGTTGTGAATGTGGTCCAGATCTGACCCAGCACACCTGGTCTTATCCAAGGATGAGGCTCCCCCCCCCCAAAAAAAAATCGCAGATCAGGCTTACCGAGCTTCTGGATCATGGCCGCTATCACTTCATCTTCTTCAATTTCCCTGAGGAAGGAAAGGACAGACAGTTGAGGGGGGGGGGGAGAGAGAATGCACTCCAGATGTTTCAGCAGCTGGAACGCTTATGGAGAACAGTGCACTGAACTATGCAAGTTAGATAGATGAGGACTCTTGGCTTCATAAAGGTCAGGTATGACCCTTGGCTCAGCTCAGCCAAGCCAGACCCTACCTTTCAAAGGAGCAGAGTGCATTCTACCATTCCAGCTCCTTCCCTCGCCCCTGTTTCTATCAAGGAAGCAATCTCCTCAAAAAACTAATCGAGGGGGAGGCAAAGAAAAGTCAGGAGGTTGTCTACCGCCTCTCTGCATGATTCCCTACAGCAATTGTGCCCCTTTCCAATCAACTGTTGCCGGGATTGGCTAATTCTGCCATGTCTCTGTGGCGCACATCATCAGATCATTCTTCTATCGGAGGCACAGGATGATTTGTTTCCCAGAGGAGGCTGCCCGTTGTCATCCTGCAGGAGTTCCTGTTCTGCTCATTCGTCCAAAGAGGCGAGCAGAGACTCAAGCAGAGAGCCTCCTCCCTGACACTCATTTGCAAGTCTTTTTCAATTGAAGCAAGCCCTTCGGTTTAACTCGGCAAAGTTTTGATTTGGTTCACAGAAAGTTTTTGGGGGGGTGTGGGGGGCAGCAGGGGAGAGAAATACCAGGCTGGCAACGCAGTCTCTCCCCCACCTGACGAGTCAGCAAGTCCTTTCACAGCTTGGAGAAAAAAGACTTGGACCGACAAGGAAACAGCAGCCAGAAACTAAGACGGTTCCTAATTACTCCAAAAGGCTTGGCAAGGAGCCGGACCCTATGAACCTCGATTGGCAGAAGGAGCCAGTAAAGACCCACCGTGGGAGCTTGTTGGCCGTTCTCAGAAAACGCTGAGGCCAAGAGGGCTTCCTCAACGCAGGGCCCTCTATTAAGAAGTCCTGCCTCCTTTTCCTGAAGGGGCTTCCTCTTGAGAAACAGGAAAACCAGGAACAGGGAGGCAAAAACGGAAAGAAGAGGAGGCCAGCCCAACTTTGCAGCCTGTTCCACTCCTACACAGGGAAGGGAGGAACCGACAGAGCCCTGAAGCGCCAAGACTGGAGAGGATAGGAGGGGTCCGAGTTCAGCAGCAGAGCGTCACCTTCGCATGTCAAAGGTCCCGAGTTCAGTTCCTGCCTTCTCACATGTGAGGAGGCATCTTCCTTAGGACGGCAAGACGCCTTGCACTGAGTCTTGGGGCCATATCTAGCTCAGTTCTGTCTTCACTGACTGGCAGTGCCCCTCCAGGGGTCTTCTTCTACAACTAATCCAGAATGCGGCAGCTAGACTGGTGACTGGGAGCAGCCGCCGAGACCATATAACACCAGTCCTGAAAGAGCTACATTGGCTCCCAGTACGTTTCCAAGCACAATTCAAAGTGTTGGTGCTGACCGTTAAAGCCCTAAACAGCCTCGGCCCAGTATACCTGAAGGAGCGTCTCCACCCCATCGTTCAGCCCAGACACTGAGGTCCAGCACTGAGGGCCTTCTGGCGGTTCCCTCCCTGTGAGAAGCAAAGCTACAGGGAACCAGGCAGAGGGCCTTCTCAGTAGTGGCCCCCACCCTGTGGAATGCCCTCCCACCAGATGTCAAAGTGATAAACAACTACCTGACATTCAGAATACATCTTAAGGCAGCCCTGTTCAGGGAAGTTTTTAATGTGTGACATTTTAGTGTATTTTTGGTCTCTGTGGAAGCTGCCCAGAGTGGCTGGGGAAACTCAGCCACATGGGCGGGGTACAAATAAATTATTATATATATTATTATTATTATTATTATTATATATATATTCCACTGCCTCACCTGTCCTTAAGGTCAACAACTTTTCTGTGCCAGTAAAAGTCAGTTTTTGCAGCCGGCACAGATGCAAACCAAGCCATGCATCTACTTACTCTCTTTGCATACGGTTACGTTGCAGAACACGGACCCTGCGCCAATCACCGTGGTTCCCGTTCTCTAATTTGTTAAGACCATTTTAAATTCTGTTTCTGTCTTCTGCGGCATTAGCTACCCCTCCCAGTTTGGGGCCATCTGCAAATTTGATCATCCCCTTCAATCCTTATAAAGATGTTGATGTCAGGGATCGTGCGGAGGAGGGCTGCACTGAGGAAGAATGGTGCCCCCCCCCGCCCTGATCAGGATCCTGAATCTCCCCAGGAACAGGAGGGCAGTATAGATTTGGAACAGTGGCTTGCAGAGGGATGTAGTTCAGAAGGCAGAAGCTGGGAAATACTGGATGGGGAACAGCTAGGAGAAGGGACACTGGGAGATAGAGTGTTAACAGATTCACTGTCTCTGGAAAGCATTCATCCGCTCTCCCCAAGGTCAAGAAGGGCTGAGACAGTGGCAGAACAGAAAGCAGAGGGGACAAACTCAGATTACAAAATGACGTAGATTAAGGGGGTGTAATCCTTAATTGGGAACACCGCCATTCTAGGAGATGGGTCCTTTGTTCTCTCACTATGATCATTAAAGGTTCTAACTGGTTAGAAGTCACCTTTTCCTTTGTTCTGTTTATCTGCTGCCAGGTGGGCAGCGGGCAGGGAGAAAGCCGATTCCCTGAAGTCTGACAATTGAACAACAACAGGTCCAGGACAGAACCCTACAGTACCTCACTTGTCCTTTTTCTCCAGGATGGTGAGGGATAGGCAACAGAGTCAAGGCAATGCACAGCCACAGCCTTCTCCCCACCCCCTGCCTGAAAGGCCTTTGCGCACCTGAGTCGGTCTTCATCCAGGTCCTCCACGATTTTATTCCGGTCATTGACCGTGGCCACGTACAACGCCAGCAGCTCCTCCTCGCGGGCCTTCTCCCTGGGCGTCTTCGAGAACTCTGAGCAACAGGGGGTAGGGAAAACGGGACAGGCCATTACCATTAATTGGCTCACAAAACATCCACACAGCTATGAGTGGGGCAGTGGCAGTGGTGGGGGGGGGAGGTGGCTGAGAAGAGAAGAAGAAGAAGAAGAAGAAGAAGAGGAGGAGGAGGAGGAGGAGGAGGAGGAGGAGTTTGGATTTGATATCCCGAAGGAGTCTCAAGGCGGCTCACAATCTCCTTTCCCTTCCTCCCCCACAACAAACACTCTGTGAGGTGAGTGGGGCTGAGAGACTTCAGAGAAGTGTGACTAGCCCAAGGTCACCCAGCAGCTGCATGTGGAAGAGCGGGGAAGCGAACCCGGTTCACCAGATTACGAGTCCACCGCTTAACCACTACACCACACTGGGAAGGCATGCAAAAGTCCATCCCCGTGTCCTGGATTCGAGTGGCGACAGTGACGGCAGGAGAATGGAAAAGAAATCTGAAAGGACGAATGTGCCTTCCATCGGAGGAGTGGCAAAAGGAACAGAATGAGATGAAGCAGGGAAGGAATGGAGGAAGACATGGGAGTGCAGAGGAAGCCGCGGATGGTCTTGCCCCTTATTCACCCAGTAGATCTCTACCATGAGTGTCCGCTTGTTAGAGTTCCAGTCATGCTTTAAATGCAGTTGCTGCTGCTGTGTTTGGAACTTTATTTTTTATTTTTTACTTTATGTGTAAATTGCCTTGAGGTGGTGCTTTAGAAGGAGGTTAATAAATTAGTTGTAATAAATAATAAAAGAGGTTTAAAGACTGTCTCAAGGCAAATCTAAAAAAATGTAGAATAAATATCGACAGTTGGGAAAAACTGGCCTGCGAGTGCTCCTGTCGGAGAACAGCCTTTACCAAAGGTGTCGTGGGCTTTGAAGGCACTCGAACTCAGAACGCAAGGGAGAAACGTGCTAAGAGGAAGGCACATTTGGCAAACCCTCACCGTGATCAACTCCTGCACGGAAACCTATGTCTCCACTGTGGAAGGACGTGCGGATCCAGAATTGGCCTCCACAGTCACTTATGGACTCATTGTTAAGATTGTGTTCATGGAAGACAATATGACTTGGCTACGAGTGATCACCAAAGAAGAAGAAGTTGTATGTATGTATGGTGCCTCGCAAGACGAAAAGAATCCGTTCCGCGATTCTTTTCGTCTAGCGGTTTTTTCGTCTTGCGAAGCAACCCCATTGGCGGCTAAGCGGATTAGCGCTATTAGCGATTTAGCGCTATTAGCAGCTTAGCGGGCTTAGCGGCTAAGCTGTTAAAAGCCTATTAACGGCTTAGCGGCTTTGAAAAAGGGGGGAAAAGCGGGGGGGAAATGGCGAGACGTTTTCGTCTTGCGAAGCAAGCCCATAGGGAACTTCGTCTTGCGAAGCGCCTCCGCGACGGAAAACCCTTTCGTCTTGTGGGTTTTTCGTCTTGCGAGGCATTCGTCTTGCGGGGCACCACTGTATGCATGTATGTATTTTTCACCTGCACAAAGTGAAAGCAGCACAAGACGCGAGTCACCTGTACTGGATCAGAGCAAAGGGAAAGGGGAGGGGAAAACACTTCCTTTAAAAAGAGTCTCTAGAGAAAGGCGGAGGACCCACCAGATTTGCTCATGAGGCTCCTTAGCTCGCTCTCGATGTCCCACTGCTTTTCCTCCAGCTTCTGCTGGTTCATCCTGTCGGTTTCCAAAGAAAGAAGAGGGAGGAAGGTTAGCGAGAAATGATATCATGCATCAAAACAACCTGGCCACGATCAGGAATTTTGCCCATGGTATGACTATTTTCCACCTTCCCATTTTCGACTCTCTTGCACCCTATCTGCGTCACCTAGCATCCCCCTCCCCCTCAAGTTCTCCCCCTTCTCATTTTATCCTCACAGCAACCCTGTGAGGTGGGTTAGGCTGAGAGGCAGAGAGTGCCCCCCAAAGTGAGTCCCTCCATGACTGGGAGGATTTGAACCCTGTTCTCTTCCTGGTCCTAGCCCAACACTTAAGCCACTAACAGCACAATGGCTCTTTAAATTTCTTTTTGTACTTTCCATTGTATGGTTTTGAATGTGCAATTGTTCTAAGCCACTCTAGTCCTTCATGTTTTCATTTATTTAGTGAAGAGCGGTATGTGAATACGGTTATAAACACATAAATAATTTGAAAAATCCAGCAGAGGGGAGGATATCAGCTGACAGGCCGAATACCAACTCTGCAGCCACTTTCCCATCACACACACACATATCCCGCCCCTGCTGAGAAATGGGCAAACTTTTCCAGACCTTAGCTGCGATCCTACTTTGCAGGGGGCTGGACTGTTAGAATTCCTGCTCCACGATGGCAGTCATGGGATTGTTGTCTATCACATGACGGTGTATGTTTTGACTCCACAGAGTGGGAAGTGATGGAGACAGGATGTTTGTGTTACTGTGTTCCGTGAAGTGGGACTATTGTCCTTTGTTCATTTTCTCTTTGTGTCTGATGCTAGAGAGAGAGGGGGCCATGTTGCAGTGCTCCGTGTGTAAATAAAGTAGATTAGCCCAAATGCTGAGTTGCTGAGGTCTGTCACGCGCATGATGCGCAAACTCTGCAGATCCCTAAGTGTGCCGGTGTCGGTCGACATCGGTCGCTGTGATGTTCGTGCAGAAGAAAGCTTCTGAAGCTTCTGAATGAAAGACCAGGAGGGAGGGAACATGCCAGTCGGGCATGTGTCTCTGCCAGGGTCCTACTTTTTTTTTTTTTAATATTTTATTAAGGATTTTCTTGTTTTACAGAAGTGTAGTGCCTCGTTTTTTGTTTGTTTTTTCCATGTAACATTTTTACAAATCCATTTCATTTGTTGAGGCATTAGGGGGAGAAGAAAAAAGAAAGAGGGAAGAAAAGGGGGGGTGGAGAGAGGGAAGATGGATGGGGGTGGGGTCGGGTGGCGGTGTTTCTATTATGTTTAATGTGTGTAGAGTTTGGTGTCAGCGTTGTTTGTGTTGTTCACTTGTGTTCCTTTGGTGGTGAGAGAGGTTGGGGTTGGCCTAGGGTGTGATTGTTTGCTTGTGATTGGCTGTGGTGATCTTTGTTTTCGTGTGTGAGTGAGGTGGGTGGGTGTTTTGGATCAGGTTAGCCATATTGATTTGTATGCTGTTGGTGGATTATTGTCATTGTCCTGTTGGGCTGTGTGTGTGATAAAGGGGAGCCATACCGGGGTGAAGGTGTCTTCTTCTGTTTGTCCCCGTGTCAGTTTCAGTTTATTAGTTAATTTTTCTAGTAGGGCTGTTTCCCATACTATTTGGTACCATTGGTCCATGCTTACTCCTGACAGGTCTCTCCAGTGTCTGGTTATGGTATTTCTGGCTGCTGAGAGCAGGTGGGTTATGAGTTCTTTGTGGTGTAAATGGGCATTGTTGTCTTGGAAGATGTTTAGTAGGGCCAATTCTGGGGTTATGTCTATTACTTGCTTAGTTATTGTACATATTTCTTGTATGGCTGTCGTCCAGAATAGTTGGATTTTGGGACACTCCCACCACATGTGGAGGTATGTGCCTGTGGAGGTGCACCCTCTCCAGCATTTTGGTGAGGTTCCTGGGTGTATTAGCGCTAGTTTCCTTGGTGTTAGGTACCACCTGTAGGTGAGTTTCAGTGTGAGTTCTTTTCTTTTCGTTGATATGGATTTAAAGGGGGGTTTAGACCACATTCTGGTCCATTGAGTGGGGTTAATCTCATAGCCTATGTCATTCTCCCATTGTTTTTTGATTGCGTCTAGGGGATTTGCGGGATTTTGGAGTAGTATTTTGTATATTGCGGATACTGTCCCTTTACCGTTTCCCTTTGTTGTTAGGAGGAGGTTTTCGAAGGTTGTCAGGGGCCTAGTTGCTGCTGATTTTACTGTTGGGTTGTTTAAGAGGGTGTAGTTGGTGTTGTGTTAACCAGGGCATTTGGGTGTCTTCTAGTTTGTCTTGTATTTCTTGTGTTGACAGGGGTTTGTTATTTTTATAAAAGTCTATTAGGCGATATAAGCCTTTGGCTCGCCAGGTTTTTATCTGGAGGTTTTGTGCTGCATGGTGGAATAATGGGTGGTACGCCAGGGGGATTAGTGGGGATGGGGTTGGGGATAGTTTGCCTATTTGTGTTTTCCATGCTTTGAGCATGGTCTGTGTGTACCTGTTAAGTGTTGTGGGAATTTTCTTTAGTTTGTTTGGGAGGAGTGGGTATGTTGTGGTGCAGGTGTTTTCAATTGTGTCCCTCTCTAGGTGTACCCATTGTTTTGTCTCGTCTTCTAGTATATATGGGATTATATGGCGTATTTGGTTGGCAGTGTAATATGCTTCTATGTTGGGGATTCCCCATCCTCCTTCTGAGGTGGGGAGGTGCAGATATTTGGGGCTTATTCTTGGTTTTTTATGTGAGAAGATGAAAGAGTGTAGTTTTCTCTACGAACTGCGAAGTTGGGTTGAGGGGATCCAGATTGGGAGGGTTTGGAATAGGTAGGTTAGTTTTGGGAGTGTGATCATTTTGATCATGGCTATTTTGTCTGAGAGAGTGAAATTCATGTTATTCCATCTCTTTAGGTCTTTGTTAATTTGTCGCCACAGGGGCTTGTAGTTGTGGAGGTACAATTTATTGAGGTTTCTGCTTGAGTGTAGTCTGAACTCCTGACAGACCCCTGGGTGCCCCTCCACGATTCTGCAATTCTCCGGTTTCACTTACTTGTGCATCAGCTCAGACTCCCGCCGCAGCAGCAGCTGCTTTTCATGGATCAGCTTGAACCATTCCACCATCAGGGCATCCTCGCTCTCATCTGCAGACGCAAGACCAAAGGAACCTCTGAGCTCTTCGCTTTGGAGGCTGCCAGAGGTTTGATAAACTCTGACTTCCGGGAAGATAGAAATCTTAGAACTAAGCCAATTGGGGCTTCAATGGGGGAGACATCTCGGACCCCGCCAAGCAAACCATGGGCAGTGTCCCGAAGGAAAAGCTTCCAACATTTCATATACAGTGGTGCCTTGGTTCTCAAACTTAATCCGTTCCGCAAGTCCGTTCCAAAACCAAAGCGTTCCAAAACCAAGCCGCGCTTTCCCACGGAGAGCAATGCAAAATGGATTAATCCGTTCTAGACTTTAAAAAACCCCCAAAACAGCAATTTAACATGAATTTTACTATCAAACGAGACCATTGATCCGTACAACGAAAGCAATAAACTTTTGTACAGCAGTCACACAATCAATCAGCAGCTGAACTGGGTTCCACACAGTCACACACACACACAAAAAGCCACAAAAACCAAAACCCAAATAAATAGCAAAAACAGACAGACACTCAAAACAGAAGTGTGGCACTCAAATCGGAAGTGTAACACTCAAAACGGAGCATGTTCGGCTTCCGGAAAAAGTTCGCAAACCGGAATACTTACTTCCGGGTTTGCAGTGTTTGGGTTCCAAGTTGTTTGAGTACCAAGGCGTTTGAGAACCAAGGTACCACTGTATCCCATACTAAGAATAACTAATCCCACAGCGGGGGACCGCAGTCGCCTCTCCGCCCCGAAGACACCTGGACCCGCCTCACCTCCCTCGCAGTTCCTCAGCTGCTTCTCCATCTCCACCCCTTTGAGCTCCAGCTTGTCCAAATCCTTCTCGATCTGCCGGACTTCCTTCTGGATTTCCTCCTCAGGGATATAGTCTGGGTGGCACTGAAATGGGGGGAAAAAAACAGCCGTACTTTATCAGGCACGTCATACGACAATATAATCCTTACCGTTAAGGAGGGACCTCAGAGCACAATCATCCGGTTTTCTTCCTCCACATTATCCTCACAGAATTGCAGAACTGTAAGGTACCCCAAAGGAAATCTAGACCAACCCCACTGCAAGAATCACAGCTCAAGAATCCCTGGCAGTTGGCCGCCTGTCCTGTGTTCGAAAACCTCCAGTAAAGGAGAGTCCCCCACCTTCTGTTCCGCACAACGAGCCTGCGAGGCAGGTCAGGCTGAGAAGCGGTACCGACGAAAGAAGAATGGCCGACAAAATTAATGGACTACGCAGAATTGGATAAAATGACAGGAAGGATTCGAAACCTGCGGGACCAGAGATTTACAGAAGATTGGAAGAAATATACGAACTATTTGAAGAGCAACTGTAATCAACAAATTACGCTAGTAGGACTACAAGAAGTTTTCTAAGGAGAAATATATGAAATATTGCAAAGAAGAGAGAGACATTAGTTATGCTATTTAAATGTAATAGTGAAAGTAAGAAATGTAAATTAAGTGAAAAGATTGGAAAATTTTCAGATGTGATTGATGGAAGTCAAAAAAGTTGTTTAAGTTAAGTATGTTTAATAATTGTTGAATATGATATGTTAAAAACTTATATTATATATATATATATATATAGAGAGAGAGAGAGAGAGAGAGAGAGAGAAACAGAATATTGGCCCACACCAATGGCCTAGAGCAAATCTGAGCCTCTTCACTCCTAACATCAGAGCTGGGATGCCTACAGAAGACCTGCTGGTAGACTCCATCACCCATGACCGCTGGCCATGCCGGCAGGTGCGGATGGGATTCTGAGTCCCGCTGCTCCTAGATGAGGGCTAGAGGTCTCCCCATCCCTGCACAAAACTGCCTTTCTTCACTCCTGGCCATACCTTTGAGGGAGGCAGTGCTTGACCGGTCGGAGACTTCTGGAGGACTCTAGGAGGAGACGGCCTCACTGGGAAGAGAGGAAAAAGGAAAGCCTCTTAGATGAACAGGCAGCACCACCCAGTTCATGTCTACTCAGAAGCAAGCCCCACCACGTTCAATAGGGCTTGCTACCAGGTAAGGAAATGCAGAACTGCAGGGGTGTACAATGGTACCTTGGTTTTCAAACTTAATCCATTCCGGAAGTCCGTTCCAAAACCTAGGCACGCTTTCTCATAGAAAGTAATGCAAAACGGATGAATCCGTTCCAGACTTTTAAAAACAACCCCTAAAACAGCAATTTACCATGAATTTTATTATGAATTTTAAAAAATTATTCCCTGCACTGATGATAGTAGTTGTTTGGATGGTGGACTTTTATCCATTTCCGCAGTCACACAATCAATCCATCAGTAGCTGAATTGGGTTCCACACAGTCACAAAAACAAAGGAACCGAAAATGCCTCAAAAACACAAAATAAATAGCAAAAACAAAAGCGCCAAACTTAATCTGTTCCAGAAGCCTGTTTGACTTCCGAAATGTTTGAAAACCAAGGTGCAGCTTCTGATTGGTGCAGGTGCCCCAGAAACAATCGCTGACAGCTGCATCGGACGTTCGGCTTCCGAAAAATGTTTGAAAACCGTAACTTCCAGGTTTTCGGTGTTTGAGAACCAAGGGTGGCACCAGGCACTCTGTATCTCAGTTAGCATGCAGAGGGTCCGATCTTTGGAGTCTCTTGGTAAGGCTGAGAAAGACTCCACTGGCCCCAAGCGTCAGTTTACATTTCTTAGTACAGAAAGTATTGATCTGATGTGTAGAGATCTTTCCTATTCTACTTAATTCAAGAGGGTTCTGGAAGCCTCTCTGTGTGAAAGAAACAAGCAGAAGGTTCCTGATCTTTGGGTTATTCCTTCAGAGAAGCTGAGTACAGCTGGCTTAAACTGGTCCTGTCTTTCTGTCAAGGTCATGCTGACTATAAAAGGTCAGAAGGAGCCTGGCTTTCACGTTCTCTTTCTATCTCTTTTTTCCTTCTGGTGTGGTGTTCTGTATATAGTGTTAAGGTTTAGACTCTTATAAGTTATTGTAAGTTTAAGTTATGTTTGGATTTCTTACGGACAGTGCCAATCCTGAATGTATTGGATTTGTGACTATTATGCTCATTTGCCTTTAGCAGCAGTAAAGCTCTGCTGGATGAAATACTAATATTAATAATATAATAATAATAATTTTATTATGTATACCCTGCCCATCTGCCTGGGTTTCCCCAGCCACTCTGGGTGGCTCCCAACAGAACACTAAAAACAGAATAAAACTTCAAACATTAAAAACTTCCCTAAATTGCCTCTGGTCTATTTTTGGGGAATCCTGCAACGTGTTCAAGTGGTTTCTCTGCTAACTATACATTGAAATCTATTCTGGATCAATATTGAGTAGAATTCCATGACACCAAGGGCCATATAAAGGAGTCCTGGACCGCAGGTCAGAGGTTCTCCACAGCAAGGCTAAACTGTGGCTTAGCATGGCACACAAGCCAGTCCAGCGAGGAAGCAGAAACCTACCGGGCGCAACGGCCTTCCTGGAGGGGCTCAGCCCCTCGGCCTTCTTGGTTGTGGCAATATCCTCCCACTGCTGCTTGGGGGACCTCCAGCTACTGGAAATATCCACGGGAGGCACCAGCAGTTTTTTCTTTGGTGGCTGATCAGCTGGTGAAGCTGCAATGAAAAAATGTATACAGTCGTACCTCCGCTTACGTATCCCTCCACTTATGTAAACTTGGGATACGTGAGCGGCAAACCCAGAAGTACCGTATTTTTCACTCCATAAGATGCACCTGACCATAAGACGCACTAGTTTTTAGAGGAGGAAAACAAAAACAAAAAATTCAGAACGAAACAGTGGATGTATGATTTTTGTGGTTCATGCTGTGGCCACAGACGTGATATGTGATTTGACAGTGAGTTTGGGGTAGCCCAATGCAAAAATCCTGAGATTCCGTATGGATCCGTGCTTTGTAACCACGTTTTTGCGCCATTGCAGCCCCACGAAACAGTGGGTGTGTGGTTTTTTGGGTGCAGGCCGTAGCCATGGGCATGCTATGTGATCTGATGGTGAATTTGGGGTGACCCAATGCAAAAATCCTGAGGATCCATGGGCTTTTACCTCCCCCCTCCCAGGCAGCCTCCTTTATCTCTAGAGTCCCTTATCTCCCTCCCAATCAGTGGCTTTGTTTCAACACCCCTTCCCTCTTTCTAAAAAAAAAAAAAGCACAGTCTGCTTTTTGCCCCTGGGCAATTCGGCTCCAGGGACCACGCGTTCACTCCATAAGATGCACAGACATTTCCCCTTACTTTTTAGGAGGAAAAAAGTGTGTCTTTTGGAGTGAAAAATACGGTATATTTCCAGGATTTTGCCGCACGCTCATGCAAAGAAGTGGTAGACCTGCAGGAAACGGGCTCCTTTGAAGACGTCCTGAAAAACGGTTTCCTCAATTAGTTTTTCAAGCCGTCTTCCGGTGTGGAAATCCCACCTCCTAAAAAATCTTGCCCATTTGTCCATCCAACCTAAGGTTTACATATTTTGAGGAACTCAAACGCCAACCTTCAAAAGCTTTCTCAGGGTGACTTCCAAAAGTTAAGAACACAACAGAATTAAAACAAATAGACAAGCATACAGGGGTTGTTGTTTTTTCTTTAAAAATAACTATCCCAAAACCAGGGGGGAAACATGAAGGAAGAAAAACAGGCACAACACTGCTTAATTCTGCCAAGAGTTACCTCTGAGACCCCGACCACACAAATTCTCCACTACGGACACACTGATAGCACCCAAAACTACTGCAGCAAACCAGTTCCTCCCACTTTTATGAATCTGAATGTCTAAAATATGGAGCTGATCAATTTAAGTATCCTTAGATGCTGCTGGTTGACTGGTCCAATATTTCTAAGTGTAGCGTTCCGTCTAGCAGATGACTGGTGAGCTATGAAATTGCTTCAGAGGAAAGAAAATGCTTATTCATGCCGTGCACTGTTAACCTGTGGAACTCCCTGCCACTAACTGGGATGGCTTTGAAAGAGGATTATGCAAATGCATGGAGAAGATTGCTATCAGTGGCCACTGGCTAGGAGAATACCACAGGAGGAGAAAGGGCTCTTGTGTTCGAATCCTGCTTGAGGGTTTTCTGTAGACACTGGGTTGGCCACTGTGAGAACAAGATGGCAGACCAGATGGGCCACTGATCCAGCAAATTCTCCTTATGTTCTTAAATCTGCATTAGCACAAAGTGCCCAGGGACACATTTTTTGGGGGTGGTCTGGGCTTTCTACAGGGACAAACCCCCCATTTTTAGGTTTTTTGACAGCCTCAATGAGGACTGGATACTTGCTGAGGCGGTTCAAATCACAGTTTCTATGCCGAATTCTATACAAACTGCCCTGCTGCTGCACTTACTGCCTTTACAATGCTATCATACCAGTTTCCTGATTCGACGGGGAGGTTGTTGAATAAGCTGGCTTTTTGTCTTTCTGTCCCGGACTCAGAGTTATGTCAACAGCTGCCTTGTGAACATCTGCAGGTTTGTGAGTGGTTCTGGGGTCAGCGTGGCCAGGGACTCTGCAAAAGGAGGGAAGCAAGCATTGAGAGAAGGAGCCCAAAGTCCTCTAAACCCAGCAACCCTAAAAGGGCTTTTAACAGAACTGTTTATATCCTGCGCTAGACATATGATGCAAACCCTGCTCTAATACAAACCAACTTTCTGCCATCTGCCTTATTGCAGGGCAGATTCGAGGGTAAACTGTATGTGGAACGAGTCTGCCCCTGCGGCTTGATGGAGGTAGAAATTGTCTCTCGTGTCTTGTTTCTACGGGGATATACGCTCAATATTTATCACTCCTGTCATACAAAAATCTCCAAATGGGTCTGAACTTCAATGTCTAAAACTCCTGGTAGAGGACAAGGACCCAGAGATCACGCTAAGGGTGGCCAAATTCTGTGCGACTGCCATAAAACTCAGGGAACAAGCTGTACTACCAAAATGATTAAGGTTTTAAATGACAATTTTAGGTTATATTTTAGTGATCAAGATTCAATATATACTTTTAGCTGCCACTATATCTGTATTGCCTCTGTTATACCCAATCGAAATTCAATGCATTCCTGTTGTGTTTCATGATTTTCCTGATATTGTATGTGAGCCAGAACTGGTCTGTGACCGTAATAATAAAATTCATTCATTCAACCAACTTTCCATGCCAATAAAAGCAGAATTTTACCCATGCAATTTATGCAGACTAAGTCGTGCATACATTTCCTCAATTTTCAACAATTTATTCCACGGGACATTGAAGCTCCAAACCTGACTGCTGGAATATTCCATCCTGGTTGCTCGACCAATTGTTTTGCCATATATTGCCTATGGCACACTTTTGTTGTGTGTGTCCGCCGTTGTGTGTGTCCACAAACACAACCTTATGTTCTCCACCCAACCAAATCCCCTCTTCTCCTGCCCTACTCACCTGTTTGCCACCGGCTTCAGCAGAGATCTCCAGTCCGCTGGCATTTCTGATTTCTCTTCCGCAACGCTTGCAGCTCCCGCTGGAGAAAGAATTCATCCACGAATGAGACTATAAGAAGGCAGCTATAATATGGTTACCAGATTTTTTTCAATGAATCTGAGTAGCAACAGGGAGTCAGTAGTGGGGATGGTGAGGCCCTCGTATCTACGGGACCGCCTCTCCTGGTATGCCCTGCAGATGACCTTAAGGTCCATGAATAACCATAGTTTAGAGGTCCGCAAAGTCAGATTGTCCTCCACCTGGGCCAGGGCCTTCTCAGTGATGGCTCCGACCTGGTGGAATGCTCTGTCCCATGAGACCAGGGCCCTGCAGGATTTAACCTCCTTTCATCAGGCCTGTAAGACAGAGCTATTACGCCTGGCCTTTAATTTGAATTCACCCTTTTATTTCCCTTCTCTTCCTCCCCCTCCCCTTTTATGAAGATCACAAGCTCTGAGACCCCACAGCTAATTCTCCCCTGGCCTCCACGCTGGCCCAAGTAGGACCAATTCAGCCAGCTAGCCCAGGGGATTATCTAATTGATTTTTGAATTTTGAATTTTATTGTCATTCATGTTTTTATACTGTACTTTATGCTGCTTTTATAATTAAAACACTTAAATTTGTTGTTAGCTGCCCTGAGCCTGGATTCTGAACCGGGAAGGGCGGGGTATAAATAAACATTTATTATTTATTATAAAAGACCCTGGGCCCAAGCACACATGCATATAGTATAAAGGTGCAAAGCCCTTCTTTCACACCCTGTGAAACATAAATGCGCAGAGGTTTTTTTAAAAAACTGGGCAATGGCGTGCTGCCCGCCCGCGACTCCCAAGCCCTCCCCAATCTCCTTCCTCCTTCGTTTTGATGGATCAGGGGAGGCTTGGGAGTCACGGGCGGGTAGCCGCTGCCCAGGAGGGGCCAGCCTGGTAGTGCAGTTGGCTCTGGCTGGCTTCAGGAGCTGCTCACTGCCGTGGCACAGGAAAAATGGCGGGCACCACGGCAGTGGGCAGCTTCTGAAGCCAGCCAGAGCCAACTGTGCTGCCAGGCTGGCTCCAGGCTTCTGAGGCTGCCACTGCCACGTTTCCCAGGGACAGATTTGCAAATCTGGGGACATTCCGGGGACGGAATTTATCCGGGGACAGATTTGCAAATCCGTGGACTATCCCTGGGAACCGGGGACGTCTGGTAACCCTAAGCTATAAACCTTTCACACAGAACATTGACCCTCCATGCGAATCAGCACAGGCAGAATAGAATAAAAAAATTCCGTCCAGTAGCACCTTAGAGACCAACAAAGTTTGTTATTGGTATGAACTTTTCGTGTGCATGCACACTTCTTCAGATACACTTCAGGCGATGTATGGATTTCATGAAATGAATAAATAAATGGACAAAAATGCACTGCACTGAGTAAATAAAGCAAGGGCCACTTTTTACCTTTGGAGACCTTAACGTCCAGTTTATGCCCAGAATCAGCTGCAGGTCTGCTGGGGGGCTGATCCTTGAGCCTGCTCTGGGGGGCCACCCCGACGCCTGCTTTGCCACCCAGATCCTTGGGTGAACGTTCAAGGGCGGGTGAAAGCGCCCGGGGTCCTTTCCGTGGATCTTCCGTGGCAGTTGGCATGCTGACAGGCCTGGAAGGCTTCCAGTCCGAGATGCTTTTCGTCTCGATATGCTGTGTGCCAGAGGTGGCTGGAGATGGCTTGCTGCTGAGGGCAAGAGGAGGAGATTAGCCGTTAGGCCAGTGGGATGGACAACGGACAACATCCAGCTGACCACCAACCCCTCCCAGGGCTAATAATAATAATAATAATAATAATAATAATAATTTATTATTTTATACCCCACCCATCTAGCTGGGTTTCCCCAGCCACTCTGGGCGGCTTCCAACAAAAGAGTACATTAAAACATCAGTCATTAAAAACTTCCCTAAACAGGGCTGCTTTCAGATGTCTTCTAAACAGTTTTTATCCAAATGCGATTTTGGTTTTAAACACAGTATAAGGTAGTCTCTGTGTGAGTATATTGTATTTAATTATGGGGTATCAGAGTTTTTAGGGGGTTTAACCAGGCTGGGATAGCTGGGATAGCAGGCTTGTTGGTTTTTGAATGTCTAATGTAGATTTTTTCAATTTTGTTGTTCTATATGGGACAACGACAATAAAGATGATCGTATTATATCGTAAACGTTAGATAGTTGTTTATATCCCTGACATCTGATAGGAGGGCATTCCACAGGGCGGGCGCCACTACCGAGAAGGCCCTCTGCCTGGTTCCTTGTAACCTCACTTCTCGCAGTGAGGGAACCGCCAGAAGGCTCTCAGAGCTGGACATCAGTGTCCTGGCTGAACGATGGGAGTGGAGACACTCCTTCAGGTATACTGGGCCAAAGCCATTTAGGGCTTTAAAGGTCAGCACCAACACTTTGAATTGTGCTCAGAAACGTACTAGGAGCCATTGTAGGTCTTTCAGGACCGGTGTTATGTGGTCTCGGTGGCCACTCCCAGTCACCAGTCTAGCTGCCCACTAAGTCCCATTGGGTAAGAACTTGTCTGGGAGGAAGCAAGATCTGTTTTTCTCAGGCAAAGTGTTACTCAAGAGGTATCAGAAGGAAATGTTTGAAAATTGATGAACGGCTACTATAGATAGATAGAAGAGGATTTACTCCACTCAACTATTTGAGGACAGGTTATAACAATGTATAAAAGCCATAGCAGAAATTGGTGGTGTGTAGGGAGAAGGGGATATATGTATTTTGAAATGATAGTTGGAAAAGTTGTTTTATTGGGAGCAGTGAAGGAGGGAGGAAAATAGAGGGGGTGGTGGGAAGTCAGCTTTTAAATTTGAATTGAATTTGTATTAATTTGGTGACCATTTGTTAAAGATTATGGAAAATCAATAAAAATAATTGGCAAAAAGAGAAAAAAAACTTGCATTCATAAAATTTCCACAATGTATATTGCAAGGCTGAAACTTCCCTCCCCAATTTCCAAACCTAGCCTGTGATTTATTTAGTTCTTTTTTAACATGAGGGAAGTAGAGAAGAAATTTGTTCAAATTAAAATTTCTACAACCACAGTAAAACATGCACGCATTTCCCTCGCTAGTGTATAGGATCCCAAATCAGAGGGGCAAGCGTTTTTCCAGTTGCATTTTTTTTAGAAAGAGGGAAGGGGGTGTTGAAACAAAGCCCGCTCAGCAGCTGACCGGCAAGCAATCGGGAGGGAGATAAGGGACTCTAGGGATAAAGGAGGCTGCCTGGGAGAGGGGAGGTAAAAGCCCATGGATCCTCAGGATTTTGCATTGGGTCACCCCAAATTCACCATCAGATCACATAGCATATCCATGGCTAAAGCCTGCACCAAAAAATAACGCATCCACTGTTTGTGGTGCCACAATGCTGCTAAAACATGGTTACAAAGCACGGATCCACATGGATTCTCAGGATTTTGCATTGGGCTACCCCAAACTCACTGTCAAATTACGTATCATGTCTGTGGCCACAGCATGAACCACAAAATTCATATATCCACTGTTTCGTTCAGAATTTTTTTTTTCTTGTTTTCCTCCTCTAAAAACTAGGTGTGTCTTATGGTCAGGTGTGTCTTATGGAGCGAAAAATACGGTGCTTCCGGGTTTGCCGCTTACATATCTCGAAGTTTATGTAACCGGAGGGATACGTAAGCAGAGGTAAAACTGTATATATTTTTTCATTGCAGCATGAACCACAAAAGTCATATATCCACTGTTTCATTCAGAATATTTTTTTTCGTTTTCCTCCTCTAAAAACTAGGGGCGTCTAATGGTCAGGTGCGTCTTATGGAGCAAAAAATACGATGGGTGCTAAAGATTGGGGGAAATTGTGGAAAGAAGGATTAAAATTTTGTGCATGCAATGCCTTAAAAGTATATCATTTATATATAAATGATAAGTATAAGAAGATGATATATAGGTGGTACATTACTCCTATGAAACTGGCTAAAATGTATAAAGTAAGTAATAAATGTTGGAAATGTAAAGAAAAAGAGGGAACATTTTATCACATGTGGTGGGAATGTAAAAAAGTGAAAAACTTCTGGGAAATGATATATAATGAGATGAAAAAGATGTTGAAATATACATTTATTAAGAAACCAGAAGCATTTTTACTTGACATTATAGGAGATGATATAAATAGAAAGGATGGTAAGTTGTTTTTATATGCAATGACAGCAGCAAGAATATTATTGGCACAAAAATGGAAGCAAGAAGAACTACCGACAAAAAGAAGAATAGAGGATGAAATTGATGGACTATGCAGAATTAGATAAATTAACAGGAAGGATTCAAAACCTTCGGGACCCAGAGATTCTCGGAAGACTGGAGTAAATTTTACGGACTAATTTGAAAAGCAACTGTGGTGAACAGATTACGCTAGTAGGTTTGCAAGAGTTCGTGGTGCTTTGAAAGAAGGATGGCTAAGGATAATTATCAGTAAATAGAACCATTAGAAAGCAGTATATAAGCACAAAAGGACGGAAAATCACAGAGGTGTGAAACTTTTCGTAGCGCAAGATGGAAACTTAGTGCCGTCAGGGGTTGAAGAGGACACTTACCATGGCTGGATGCCGTTGAGCTGGGCGAATCGCTGCCAAAGCCACTAGTCCTGTTGGAGGAAGGCTGGAGCCCCGGCAAAGCCTGCATCAGGACGTTCCGTGCTCTGTCCTTCTCACCAACATCCGGACCGGTCCCTGATGTGTGGGTGCCAGAAAAGGATGCTCTCCCGGAGACCCGAGGAGGGTTCAGAAGAGAGCCTTGGTTTTTAACCGGCTCTGTTTTGCCCGGAGGAAGTCCCGAGCCCCCGGATCTGGCCTGGAAAAATTTCTCCCGAGCCTGCTGCGTTTTGGCGGACGATGGTGTCCAGCGCGGTGGGGAAGGAGAAGTGCTGGAGACGGTTAGAGAATCCGGTTTGTTCCCGGTAAGGTCTGACCAATGCGGACTTGAGCTTGCGGACGCAGAGCTGCCTTTGTAATTCCCAGGTGGCTCAGAAGCTGCTGATTTAACGGCACTGCTCATTTTCACGGGCGGCGTCTTGGATTCGAGTCCCTTCAAGTAGTTCTGTGCAGCAGAGGCAGGAGCGGGAGGTTTATCCTCGCTGGGGAAACCCCTCGCACCAGAGGACAAGGAATCCCGGAGAGGCGTCGGTTGCTCGTGCCGGGTACAGACAAAAGTGCCGGCATGGCTCCCAGCTTTGTAGTTTCCCGACTGCAGGGTGCTAGAGCACTCTTTGCACCTGGGGAGAAAAATGGCAGCAATACAATAACAAATATCTCCTGGCAGAAATAGAATGATCCTTGTAAAACAACAAATAAAGAAGAATGGGAACCTTTTACAAAGTACAGTGGTACCTCGGGTTACAGACGCTTCAGGTTACAGACGCTTCAGGTTACAGACTCCGCTAACCCAGAAACAGTGCTTCAGGTTAAGAACTTTGCTTCAGGATGAGACAGAAATCGCGTGGTGGTAGTGCGGCGGCAGCGGGAGGCCCCATTAGCTAAAGTGGTGCTTCAGGTTAAGAACAGTTTCAGGTTGAGAACAGACCTCCAGAACGAGTTAAGTACTTAACCCGAGGTACCACTGTATTTAAAGAAACAACAAAATGAACTGGACTCCTTGGCAGGTTTGGAATAAACATACACAATTTTTTTACTGGTAACATATTGAGAGATTCATTAAGGATGTTTACAATTTTATAATATGCAGAGAAGAATATGTGCTGAGAAACCAGAGGGAGGAGCTGAGGGAAATCTTGGGGGTGGGAGGGGTTTTTTTCTTTTGGGGGGGAGGGGGAGGGGAAAATGGGGGGGAAATGAGAATGATGTATTTTTGATAAACTGCTATGTTGAAAATCCTAATAAAAAACTTTTAAAAAAACAACAAATATGTTTTTTGATATCTGACAAAAACAAAGAAAGAAATACAATAATTTGGAACTGTGTGTGAAAAAAATTGTAGAAATAATAATACAATGAGTCTAATTGGAAGCCAAATGTGTTTGTTTTGTTTATCCATTTTCCTTTTCCCCCTTTCCCTCACTCCCCCCCCCTTCTTCTTCCTCTTCTCTTTTCTTTTTTGCGTCTCTTTTCTCGGTCTTTCTCTTTTTGATATGTTAAGAAAGAGATAAAGAGATAAAAGTGTAATATGAAAACCTCAGCAAGTTAAAAGTGATGTTGTGTAATTTTTCTATTATTATTTATATATTGTTAAAATTGGTTCATTGTAATGAATTGATGTAGCAACTACTGTGGGTTTTTCCTTTGTTATTGTTGAATTCTAAAGAAAGTATTATTCTCAAAAAGAAAGGAAAAGAAAGAAAGTAAAAGAAAAATGGCAGGCAGAGGGTGAGCACTTTACGCAGAAAGTAGCAGCCCTTAAGATTATGCATTTTGTGAAGTGGAAAATGATAACAAGATTCCACGTTTGTTTCTCAAAATGAACGAGGCAAGTCTCTAGTCCCTTCTGAGTCCCAATGGTCAACTATTTTAACCAGTACAAGGTTTCTTCTGTGCCCAGTGCCACAGCTTTCAAATCCCCACTTGGCCGCGAATGAAGCTCTCAGGGTGACCCTGGAGGCCAGCCGCTGCCCCTCAGTCTAACCTATCTCACCGGGTTGTTGTGGGGGTCAAAGGAGATGGGGGTCTATCTTGTACGCCCCCTTAAGCAGCTTGGAGAAAGAAGCGAGATATAAATGCCAATGCTAATTCTAATGCTAACAACAACAACAATCCAAACACATTTTGGGAAACAATGTATAATGAAATGAAAAAAAGGTTTAAAAGAAGGTTTGTATAAGAAACCAGAAGCTTTCTTATTATAGGTGCAGAAATACAAAAGGAGCTGAAAAGACGGTTTACGTATGCAATGAGGGGAATAATAATATTATTAATAATGATGATGATGATGATGATGATAATAATAATAATAATAATAATAATAATAATAATAATAATAATAATTTATTATTTATACCCCGCCCATCTGGCTGGGCTTCCCCAGCCACTCTGGGCGGCATTCAACAAAATATTAAAATACAGTAATGCACCAAATATTAAAAGCTTCCCTAAACAGGGCTGCCTTCAGATGTCTTCTAATGGCAAGTTAAACTGATGGACTATGTTGAGATGGCGAAAATGACTGGAAAAATCAGAATTCAGGAAGACCAAGGTTATAATAAAGACTGGAAGAAATTTATATTGTATTTGGAAGACCACTGTAAACAGCTGAGCTCTTTAACAGGGCTTAAATAACAGTTGTGAGTTAACAGAGACTTAAGATATAAATGTTAAATGGAATAAATGGAAGGCATAAAATATGCACCAGGAAATGTTATATGGGGAAGCCATGGAAGGATGCAGGGAGGTCTAAGGGTGCAAGGGAATCTTGTATCTGTTTTTTTCTTTTTTTTTAATTATATTCGATTGAGAATATTTTTTAAAAATTGGAAAACTTAATAACATTTTGTTTAAAAAAACAAAAAACAATCCAAACACAGCAACAGCACGCCACCAGAAAGAAGAGGAACACCAAGAAGGCTGGAAGAAATGTAAAGACTATTTAATAAATATTGTAATATTAAAGATATGTAACCACTTGAAAGAATTAATTAGGCCTAGGACTAAATAAATAAATAAGAAAATGTACGATAAGAAAAGTTTGGAAATATGATTATGAATGTGATATGGTTTTATGAAATAATGACATTGGAAACTGCTATATATATATATATATATATATATATATATATATAGTTACTAAGAAATTCAGATGGAAGAGATTAGAGGAAGTCAAGTAATATGTTTACGAAGATGGATTTTAATTAATTAATTAAGTTTTAGTTTACGTGGTGATTTGATGTATTTTATGTTTCATATTCTCTTTTCTTTTCTTCTTTTTTTTTCTTTTATACCTGTTTACTCTCTCTTTTGTTATATTTTTGTATGAAAAATACTAAATATTATTGTGCGGGAGGGGGGAGGGGAACCACACAGCAGCAGCAGCAACAACAACAACACAAACAGAGAAAAGGTGGAAACAAGGTGCGAAGGCCACACCTGAACAGTACCTGAAGCAGTTCCTGTGATAAAGCTTCCCTTCCACCAGGAGGCGCTGTACCAGGTGGACATGGTTTCCGCAGGTGGCGCAGTTGCTGCTTCGCATGTTGCTTCTCTCTGCTAAGACACGTCTCTGGGGGAGAAAAAGGCAAGAGAGAAGTGAACCTGAGACCCGACTCAAAGGGTCCATTTAATCCCGCCTCCCGTTTCGCACCGCAGCCAATCAGGTGCCTCCAGGAAGTGGACAAGCCGCTGGTTTCCAGAGATACACTGCCCCTAGACGTGAAAGCTCCATTCTTGGCTAGGTAAAGGTAAAGGGACCCCTGACCATTAGGTCCAGTTGTGGCTGACTCTGGGCTTGCGGTGCTCATCTCACTTTATTGGCCGAGGGAGCCGGCGTACAGCTTCCGGGTCATGTGGCCAGCATGACTAAGCCGCTTCTGGCAAACCAGAGCAGCGCACGGAAACGCTGTTTACCTTCCCGCCAGAGCAGTACCTAATTATCTACTTGCACTGGCGTGATTTCGAACTGCTAGGTTGGCAGGAGCAGGGACAGAGCAACGGGAGCTCACCCCGTCGTGGGGATTCAAACCGCCGACCTTCTGATCGGCAAGCCCTAGGCTCTGTGGTTTAACCCACAGCGCCACCCACATCACGTCCAATTGTTGTCAACAGGCTTCCTGCCCCTCCGTTTAGCTTCTAGGGCAAAAGATGGTGGATCCATACCGCTGCCACCGGTGAGTTCTCCTTCACCAGATTGCGAGAGGCTGGAACGGTCTTGGGTTCGGATGGTGGCAGGACTCGCGGGGGCTTGGTGGGGGCCGCCTGTTCAGAAACAACCTTCTTCCCCGTGGGCTCCTCGCTGGGCGCGGAAGAAGAGCGTTTTATGCCAGACATTCCTCCAACTGTTGGGAAAGGAAGGCAAAAAAAGTCTCAAAACGGAAGCAGGAAGCAGGAGTGACCTAAGGTGGTTAGTCTGACCCTTATATTTCCCTCCCCTTATGGTTTTGATGAGGCTGCATTTTAAATTGCATTTTAACCTGTATTTTAAATTGGTCCCCCCCCTATTATGTTTTTACTGTAATTTTACTGTAGTTAGCCGCCGTGAGCCTGGCTCTTGTCAGGGAAGGCGGGGTATAAATAATAATAATAATAATAATAATAATAATAATAATAATAATCATTATTATAGATCAATGCCCTAAACTGAGAAAACGTCAGCAGAAAGCTAATTGAATCTAACAAGTGGAGGACTGTAGTCTTTCAGCATAACACAACCTCCTTTGCGAACCTGGGACCTCCAAATGTTTTGGAGAGCAACTCCCATCAACCCCAGTTTGGGGAAGACTGGCTTAATGGATCTCACTGGGCTGTCAGGGGAATAAGTAGCTCAGACGCAATGAATACCACATTCCCCCAATACATTTAAAGCACAATGGGTACCACTTTAAAACTTCATGGCTTCCCCCAAAGAACCCTGGGAGCTGTAGTTTGTTGAGGGTGCAGAGCATTGTTAGGAGACCCCCTGTTTCCCCTCATGGAGCTACAGTTCCCAGAATTCACTGGGAAGAGGGGTCAATGGTTAAACCACTCTGGAAAATGTAGTTCTGTGAGGGGAAACGGGTTTCCTAACACCCAACCATGACTAACACAGCGATTGAAAGCTGTCGCTTCCATCTAGTTGCTAGAACCTTTTTTTTTTTTTTTAAGCGTTCATGCCAGCTGCGGATCTATTTTCAGACAAAAGCTCTGCAGGAGAAAAGGATGGGATTGGGAAAAATTACTTACTTGGCGACCGTCCATGGAAATAGTTATAATATTGGGAGACGTAGGTGAGGATGCTCAGTCTGTCTGGCACTTTGAGAGCGACCATGTCCTCAGCGTCCAACAAGGCCGGGATGCCCAGTTCCATTTCGGCCACTTTGAAAGCCTATCATTCGCAAACAGAGGAGATAAGGAGACCTGATTGTTGCTTTGTTTTGAAATCCCAAACCAATGAGAGGCAAGTTTACAAAGCTGAACTATGGTTTGCTTCAAGATAACAACAACAACAACAACAATAATAATAATTTATTATTTATACCCCACCCATCTGGCTGTTTCCCCAGCCACTCTGGGTGGCTCCCAATCAAGTGTTAAAAACAGTACAGCGTTAAATATTAAAAACTTCCCTGAACAGGGCTGCCTTCAGATGTCTTTTAAAGATGAGATAGCTCCTTATTTCCTTCACATCTGAAGGGAGGGTGTTCCAAAAGGCGGGCGCCACTACTGAGAAGGCCCTCTGCCTAACTTCTCACAGTGATGGAACCGCCAGAAGGCCCTCGGCGCTGGACCTCAGTGTCCAGGCTGAACGATGGGGGTGGAGACGATCTAAAGCAGAGCTCCAAAACTTCGGTCTCCAGCTGTTTTTGGACTACAGTTCCCATCATCCCTGACCACTGATCCTGCTGATGGGAGTTGTAGTCCAAAAACAGCTGGAGACCCAAGTTCAGAAACCCTGGTCGAAAGCAAGACTCGATTCAGGAGGGCCAGAAACACTCCAGCAACTTAGAGGGGCTGGCCCGGGTCTCTGGCAAGGGGTCTCTGCCTGAGACCTCATTCGATGGAGATACCAGAGCATACCAGATACCATACCAGAGCATGGATTGCTTTATTTCTGTTGTGCCATATGGGTCACTTTAGGAAAGAAATTTTGTATCTGTAGATTGCCACCTGTTACTCAAACCAATATTGTGCTTGTCCATCTAATCGTGCTTTGTCACAGTCGCTGCTGACTGCAACCACTACTATGCTATAAGATCCACTATCCTGTAATATTACATATGGTATGTACAGTTATTTGTGGTTTTTCACATTACTTTTGCTGTAAAAATGTGTGACATTAAGATATTGTATTTATTTGCATTACCTAATTTGAGCATGCACAGTAGTCTAGAGAAAATAAATGAGGAAGCAAGGAGGAATGCTTTTAGGAAACCCTGGAGATCATAAACAGGAGAGGCAGGATTTACCATCTCCTTGTGAGCTCTCTTCCCGGCCCACCAGCTTACAGCTTACTGTTACTTACTAACAATAGTTACATCAAAGCTAACTATCATCTTTATGACCCAGGATGCCTGATGAAGCAACAGCAACTGGTCTGTGTATTTGGAATGCTTATACGTGCCTGTCGGGTGTAGAGAAGGCAAATGGCAGAGGTGGAGAGGCTTGTGGAATTCAATCAGAAACTATTTGTCAATGAATCAAACCCAGTCAACACAATTGGATTTGTAACTGGCTGACTGACTGAACCCAAAGGGTGCTCATCGATGGTTCCTCTTCATCCTGGAGAAGAGTGACTAGTGGGGTGCCACAGGGTTCTGTCTTGGGCCCGGGCTTTTTCAACATCTTTATCAACGACTTGGATGATGGACTCAAGGGCATCCTGATCAAATTTGCAGATGACACCAAACTGGGAGGGGTGGCTAACACCCCAGAGGACAGGATCACACTTCAAAACGACCTTGACAGATTAGAGAACTGGGCCAAAACAAACAAGATGAACTTTAACAGGGAGAAATGTAAAGTATTGCACTTGGGCAAAAAAAATGAGAGGCACAAATACAAGATGGGGGACACCTGGCTTGAGAGCAGTACATGTGAAAAGGATCTAGGAGTCTTGGTTGACCACAAACTTGACATGAGCCAACAGTGTGACGCGGCAGCTAAAAAAGCCAATGCAATTCTGGGCTGCATCAATAGGAGTATAGCATCTAGATCAAGGGAAGTAATAGTGCCACTGTATTCTGCTCTGGTCAGACCTCACCTGGAGTACTGTGTCCAGTTCTGGGCACCACAGTTCAAGAAGGACACTGACAAACTGGAACGTGTCCAGAGGAGGGCAACCAAAATGGTCAAAGGCCTGGAAAAGATGCCTTATGAGGAACGGCTAAGGGAGCTGGGCATGTTTAGCCTGGAGAAGAGGAGGTTAAGGGGTGATATGATAGCCATGTTCAAATATATAAAAGGATGTCACATAGAGGAGGGAGAAAGGTTGTTTTCTGCTGCTCCAGAGAAGCTGACACGGAGCAATGGATTCAAACTACAAGAAAGAAGATTCCACCTAAACATTCAGAAGAACTTCCTGACAGTAAGAGCTGTTCGACAGTGGAATTTGCTGCCAAGGAGTGTGGTGGAGTCTCCTTCTTTGGAGGTCTTTAAGCAGAGGCTTGACAACCATATGTCAGGAGTGCTCTGATGGTGTTTCCTGCTTGGCAGGGGGTTGGACTCGATGGCCCTTGTGGTCTCTTCCAACTCTATGATTCTATGATTCAATGCTTTCATTGCTGACACAAATGGCTTGCTCCATATTTCATAATTCCTCATAGCAATCCCACCTGACCCCCACACTCTGGATATTTGCACCCCTACATCTGTGTATCTGTGTGGAATCCCCCCTTTGGCGAGGGTGCCTGGCCCTAAAATTCTTTTAAAATCAAAGAAATAAATTCGCTTTAAGAGCTGATTCTGGAACTCACTGGGAAGGTTTTTCTCTCCCTTCCTCCTCTCTTTTTTCCCCTTGTGTGCCCTACCATTTACCATACTTTTCTGTCTATAAGACGCCTCCATGTATAAGACGCCCCTTATTTTGGGGGACTGGATTTTCGGAAAATGGGGGGAGATGGCAAAAAGTTGTTGAGCTTTTTGGGGGGACGATTGCCCAGAGTCGTTGAGCTTTCCTTGGGAGTGGGGTTTACCAAGGGTTGTTGAACTTTTTTTAAGGGGGGAATGCAGAAAATTGGTCACCTGCGCGTGTCGCAAAATCCGCCTCCCGTCTGTCCCCTCGCCACGTCGGCCAATCAACACCACCCGTTGATGCAGCGACCAATCACACGCACAATAGCTGCTAACAGCCAATCAAACGTCCACCCTATGCACTATCCATGTATAAGACGACCCTCACTTTTTAGCATGATTTTAAAGTAAAAATAAACCTAATCTTTTACACGGAAAAGGACGGTAAGTTTGCCAAACTGAGGAGCAGGGTCTGCCTGCCTACTGTTGTTAGTAAAGGCAACTCTGGGATGAAAGAGCAAGGTTTTTAAAAGGCTTTAAATAAATGACAACAGCAAAAGCAACAACATCACTAAGTCAAAGACCATTGTTTCCATCTGCCCACTGCTGCCAGCGCTGGTGGGAGGTGGCCTTCCTGGGTCTCAACTGGCGACTTTCCATGAGGCTCCACCATCTTGAATCCATTACAGTTTTACACAGCTGAGCAGAGAGATCTTAAAATCAGCTTCCTGGTTGCGTTCCCCCCCCTCCCGATTCGTATTAAAGCTTGGCCTGTTCTAGACTCCCCCTCCCCTCGTTTTCCCAGAGAACAATATCTGTCTTTTTCTTTCTTTCTTTTTTATACTTTTATTTTGCTTTAAACAAATACATATAAATATAAACAACCAAAATTACAAAAAAAAACCCTTAATAATAATAATGGAAAGCTTAAAAAAATCTACAGTGGTACCTCGGGTTACATACGCTTCAGGTTACATACGCTTCAGGTTACCGCTAACCCAGAAATAGTACCTTTGCTTCAGGATGGGAACAGAAATCGTGCTCCGATGGCAGCGGGAGGCCCCATTAGCTAAACTGGTGCTTCAGGTTAAGAACAGTTTCAGGTTAAGAATGGACCTCCAGAATGAATTAAGTACATAACCAGAGGTAGGTAAAGGTAAAGGAACCCCTGACCATTAGGTCCAGCCATGACCGACTCTGGGGTTGCGGCGCTCATCTCGCTTTATTGGCTGAGGGAGCCGGCGTGCAGCTTCCGGGTCATGTGGCCAGCATGACTAAGCCGCTTCTGGCGAACCAGAGCAGCGCACGGAAACGCCATTTACCTTCCCGCCGGAGCGGTACCTATTTATCTACTTGCACTTTGATGTGCTTTCGAACTGCTAGGTTGGCAGGAGCTGGGACCGAGCAACGGGAGCTCACCCCATCGCCGGGATTCAAACCGCTGACCTTCTGATCAGCAAGTCCTAGGTTCTGTGGTTTAACCCACAGTGCCACCCGCGTCCCATAACCAGAGGTATCACTGTACAAAAAATATCAAAGTACGTGGCATAAAACATAAGCTATTGTGGGAAAGGAAAAAGGAAAAGGAAAGGAGGAGGAGGAAGGAAAAAAATGAACGGAAAAAAAGGGGGGGAGGAAGATGAGCCAAAACACAAGACGGCTCATGTATTGTACACTTCCGACAAGGTCACAACAGATCATTATTCTTATCAATTCTCTCTATCTGCATTTCATAGAATCCCTCATCTTGGTATCAGCGAACATTTCCCTATGCGGTATCATTCTAAACATAACCAGGTCTTTATTGATGAACCTTTATCCCCTAGGTAATTATTTAAACATTCCCATTCTTCTTTCACCATCTTTTTAGGTTTATTTCTTATTGCATTCTTTTTCTTTTTAAGACTTTAATGGCAAGTCACAGATACAGCAGCTTGCTTTTACCCAACTGCTTTAAAGAACAAAATGTCAATATACAGGGCTTACGGCAATGGGGTGACCACCATGTTTTGGGGGGCAGAAAATAAGAACTTTGGGTGAGAAGAGAGACCTCCCACAGCCCCGGCAACCACGTCTTGCTGTGGTTCAGCAGGGTCAGCTACGGCCGGATGAGAGGTGTCCCTTAATGGCTATACTGCAAGTGGGCTAGCCCAGCCCAGCTTGATGTTCTCCAGATGTTGGCTTGGGCTGATGGGGGCTGGAGTTCAACAACAGCTGGAGGGTGTCAGGATGAAGGAAACCAAAGTAGGCAATGAAGAGATCTGCTGGTCCAGATTGCATGTAACAAAAAAAAATCCCCTGTGTTGCAAACATAGACAAACTTAAGCAGTAAGAGGCAACGTGTGACTAATAATGTTTTATCAACACACACACACA